GCTGCGATGCGAAATGCTGAATAATATCCGTCGCGGAACGGCAAAGCCGCGAGTGGCACTTTTCGGATAACGTCGGATCTCTCGTTGCGCGGAAAACGCGCGCGCGCGCGCGCGCGTCGCGTGTGTAGTGTGGTGTGTGTGTGTGTGTGTGTGTGTGTGTGTGTGTGTGTGTGTGTGTGTGTGTGTGTGTGTGTGTGTGTGTGTGTGTGTGCGGCTCCGCCGCAAAACGACGTCGGGGCGTCCGAGTGAGACGTTAGAAAGCGCGAAATTTCGACTTGGCGAAAGTCCAGAGAAGTTGTATCATACCGCGGACTCGTTCTCGAAATAATTACTGCGGAAGGAATGACATCGCCGCGTTTGATTAGGAAGTTTCGGCGCGCCTCGCGTTTTCAAAACGCGGAACGCCGTGTTAATCGACTGAAATTGTCAACAAACATTATGAAGCGGAGCGCGAGACGCCCCTGACGAGTGGGAAAATTCGATTAAACGCTCGCGAGGACGCATTTTAACTCGATTTGGACGGCCCATTATCCGGGCACGTGCGCGACGTTCTCTGTTCACCGAACGCCACGTGCTCTATTATTTATTACTTGAGTGACGTAGAAAGTGGAATAGTCACGGATAGTCAAGAAGACTGTCGGTATTTTGCATTGCGATAATTCAATTACATCGTGTGAAAAAGAATTTTTCAACAAAATCGACGATATACCGTATCAAAGGGAAAATAACGTCCGAGAGTCCAACGTTTGATAATACACTGCTGTACAATTCTTATTTGTAATAGTAATTACGTTCGTATTATCAGAATATTCTGAGATCTCTCTTTGTGGACGTTTGACTCTGAATCTATTATTTCTCGATCTCGAATATTCGGCCGAGAATCGAACGACACGATGATTGATTGAAACCGCGCCTTTCTCTTGTTGCAGATGGTAATAATACAGGAACCGGTCCTGGCGACCCATGGACGGGTAATAGCGGTGGTGTCCAACCCCCATACAGTGGATACGTACCCCCTCAGCTGGCGCAGCCAGCCTATCCCATGCACCTACCCCACGACCCCATGGTAAGTGATTTCTCCTACCTATGTCTTCCTACTCTTCGTTTTTATCCCGAGACTATCCCCTTCGGTCGCGGCTGAACCCGAAGAAACGATCAATCACGTGTAGACTCGTCTGTTGGTTTCCTACGGAGCTGCCGTCGCGAAAACGACGTCTCTGGAACTTGGTAATAGACACGCGGGGATATTCCTTCTCCTCGTATTCTTTGTCGTCGAACACACGAGCTCGACGAGAGAGTCGACAGATTAAAACCTAAGCGAGCGACTTAATCTCGGTGCTCCGGAAAGATCGATGTGCCTCCGACGTCTCTCTCGCCGCTCCAAAAGTCACCGACGAGACCTCGATCGCGCCCCATCGGCGGTACAAAAATTGAATTCGACGACGAAAAGATTGATTTTTTCCAACCGGGACACTCGAGCGTTATAATCTCCTCGCGAGCTCGCCTCGTATCGCGATTAGTCGCGGTCGCTGAATTCAGTTCGGCCGGGAATTCCGAACTTTTATCTCCTCGACATTGTTATATGTCGAAGCGAAGCGAACGAACGGACGGACGGACGGACGGACGGACGGACGGACGGACGGACGGACAGACGACAG